TTTTTTTCGTAAAAAATTTAATTTTTTTGAAAATTTTGGCCCGTTTGACCTTGAAGTAAAGGTCAAAGGTCAAATCCAAGGGCATATTTGAAATCTACACATATGACTTTTGGAAAGCCGTCTGTAGAAATTTTTCCCATAACCCCTTCCGTAGGGTAGATAATTAGCATTTAATTTTGCCATTTTTGGACAAGGGTGCATTTCAATGAGTGCCACACCCAGACCCCAATACCGACAAAGCCCAAATTTTACGTGGAACGAGTTGAGATTATAGGTGACCTGAATCCAAGAGATGGGTACGGGGGGCCTTACCGCCTAGGAGGAGAAGCGGTAACGGTAGCCGTCCGGCGGAGCCGGCGGAACGATCCGGACGGGACCGAAACCATGTGTACCGCCAGCGCTAACGCTGGTGGTACAATAACTAACGTAATGTATGTGCCCCACTTACTCTAGAACATTCAAGAAGTCCAGGATGTCGTACTCGGATGAGTTGTTAAACCAACCAAGAAGAACATCTAGCATGATGACAAAGTTAGGTATGAATAATAATTTGAATTGAAAATACAATATTTAAAAGTCTGTAATGTTCAATTCCTTAAACAATCTGAGTTTAATTCTTATATAATCTGATGCAAAAAATATTTTTTGCAGTTTTGAATTTTTGCTTCAGATCTTTAAACTCTCCTGGTCAATTCCTTTTTAAGCAACAATTAACCATTTCATCTTTCATCTACAATAAATGTTTATCTTATATATTATTACAAATCTTTTGAAAAGCGTAATCAAAATTTTCACTGAATTGTTCCAAAATTCTGAAATTTTGCCCAAAATCTACCCACCTTCTGGCAAATTTTTCACAATGTACATGAAGCACATCAGCAGATCCTTGACCTCTGTGCTGTCCAGCTTGTCCTGACGCACGCCGAACGGGGACTGGCCGAGGGACTGACCGCCCTGAGACTGCTGACCGACTGACTGGGACCTGGAGAAACAGAAAGAGAAATGACCAGTGAGTGGAAATGAGTGGAAATGTTGACCAACTAACTGAAACTGTTGACCAATTGACTTGGACCTAAAATAAGAGTAAGAGTGAGTTGACCAGTGAATGGAAAAGACGGGAACTGGTAACCAACTTGCAGGAACTGTTGACAAACTGGCTATACAACATTTTCACTGACACTACAACTGTTTAATTTATGTAGATGCTTTTTCTTTTCTATTTTTAAGCACACATATTATCACAGGTATGAGACCGCTACTTAGTGAAAAAGTCAGAAAATATGTCCAGGGGACCATCTTGGCCAAAGATATTTTGGGTTCCCAAATTGTAGGAAATATGCCAATTGTAGGAAATTTAGCATATTTAAACCTAATAGTATTCTTTTAATGTACAAAAACCCTTGATGCAAATAACATCATACAAATGCTCACCCAAATTTAATTCAGTCAAATCTTTGTTTTAATATTCAAAATTCAAACACTGCAAATGGTGTTCAATGCAAAAATTCAAAAAATTTACAAAATAATAATAATAATAATAATATACTCATTAAAATAACTTAAAGGAAAAATACAAAGCAACTCCCTGCCTACTTACAAACTAATACTGCTGCTTCGTCGAAAACTAAATCTCCTGAATCTATATTTTATAAAGGCGTGTCATGTGAGTCACATAACAAAATCTTGGACATTAAGTGGCTCAAAGCAAGCTGGAAACATTTCCTATGCTGAATTTTTGAAGTACGTTGTTTTGCAAGCTTAGCCTACAGTAAACCTTTTTAAATCTCATATATTTATTTTGTGACAATCATCTTAATAGGTCACAATTAAAAAATTTAAACCCAGAATATAAAACATAAGGCAATTGACACAAATGACATTGAACTATAATCACTATAATTTAATTTAAGAAAAAATTAAAAAGTAGAACATCATCACAACAGCTTACCTTTCTGCTTTAGATTTTTCTTTGCTTTCCTTATAGTCAGCTGCGGCCACTGCTGACTGGATACTGGACGTACTGCTGGCCAGAGAGGCAGTGGCACTGTTGGCTGGCAATGGGTCAGATATACTGATAGCCGCAGGCGCTGAAGAAAAAGACATACAGTGCAATTAAATTCTAATTTTTTATGAAATATCATCAATGGCATAGGATATTGAACAGTGAACACCTCAAAGTAGTAATTGCATGTATCTATGGAACTGAATGTGCTAGTGTGATAGTATTGTGTAATTTATTACTACTTTTCAATTTAAGAAATTTTGCTTGATGCTGCAAATTATCATCAAGTGCATAGTAAGACCATTTTAACTATGTTGATTAAAAAATGTTTTTTTTTTTTTTTTCTGGTGATATAAAGGATAAATTTTGATGACCCCAAAAGTAAAAATAAATTCAATACAGAAATGTCAGTACTATGGTTGATGTGATTGATAATGAAAGACTCCTCACTATAGATGACAGTGGGTCATCAAAAAACCTCTGAACACTATGAACTACATCACATTAGAACATGAATAATTTGCTAAATGAGATATGTGGAGGACACAAAAATGTGAACTTTGATAGAGAACCAGGAAACATGGTGGAAATGTGCAAAGTCAATTTGAGCGGACACTTGTTCAAACTGATAAGAAACCAAGTCTATTAACTAGAGGATCAGAGAGGCGATACCGCCTCCGAATNTAATGATTCATAAACTCAGAGATGAGCTTTAATACAGCATTACAATACAGTTGATATATGAAGGTTCCATGCACTATGTGTATATGTGCAAATATTTCCAATGGAGAAGGAAAACAAAAATGATCACATTTCTTCACCATGAGTCAAATCAATTAACCTGATCACAATGGCATGGTTCTGCAACGTAAGCATGGTGAGTTGTTTAAATAAATGCTGCAATAAAAAGAGGGACATCTATGACCATGAAATCCACAAACCTTTTCACCAAAACCAATCTCTACAGAAATGCCAAAACTTTAACTGAAAGATTCTCAGACCTTTTATGCCCCGGGTGCTAAAGACTTAGTCATTCTAAAATTGTGTAAGCTTAAATTTTAAATTTCAATCTTACTGCAGTTTTCAAAATGCAATTTAATGTACTTTATATCTCTCTTAGATTTGAAGAAATTTGTAGCATTATATGTGAAAATAGTTTTATTGGATCTTAGTTTCAATAGTCAGAAAGTTTTCATTTATGATAGATCCAGAAAGTTTGATTTACCTGTTGATTGTTTTGTCTGTTCACTCTGACAGACTTGGTCACAACTGAATTACATGTTCAGGTGAAGGTGAACAGGTAATTACCTCAGTCTTGATGATGACTTGTTAGACCCTCTCGCCCCCAGTGCTAACAAGCGAAAATGATTATAGTAAATGCAAAGTTTTGGAATCCATCTGGATAAGAAGAAAGAAACACACCATGAACAGAGATGAAGGAGCACTCAAGCTGTCCCATGTGTATGACAACATTCTCAAACCCACCCCGGGGGGAGGGGGTGAGAAGGACTAACAAGTCATCATCAAGACTGAGGTAATTACCTGTTCACCTTCACCTGAACAGGTAATTCAGTTGTGACCAAGTCTGTCAGAGTGAACAGACAAAACAGTCAACAGGTAAATCAAAATTTCTGGATCTATTATAAATGAAAACTTTCTGGCTATTGTAGCATTATAATTTTAACATATAACCTAGTATTAAAATCTGCTTTCAATATCATCTTTCAGTAGTCTTTGAGCACTTTGTCATTTATTGTCAAATATTTTTCTTGTAATGTTTATTCAAAATGCATGGTATTGTGTTTGCATATTCACCAGTATCTCCCAGCAAAACTAGGTCATCTGTAGATAAAAAGATATAAATATCAATGTAAATACACAGCTGCACCTCATGATCCTGAATCATACATAAAACGTATCATAAAGCTCAAGTGTACACACTGATTGCAGGAGGGAGAATGACAGGCTTATCGCCCAGTGCAAAGATATCAGAAAAATCTAGCCAAGAAACCATCTCTAGTAGGATTTAAAATGGCAAGTGGGGGAATGGCATCAAATCTGGCAGAAAAAATCAGCCGAGATTTTCTCTCCTGTCCGATATGTTTTGAACTCTACGATGACCCTCGTGCCTTACCCTGCCAGCACATATTTTGCCTTGGCTGCCTGAAGACACACACAGGAAAAACCAAAGAGGGAGGTCAATTCAACTGTCCCATATGCCGGGGAGAAACCACCCTTCCTGAAAACGGAGCAGATGGATTTCCTCCCAGCACTTACATCACCAGCCTAAAGGATCAAGTGTTGGCTGCTGATGAGAAACCCTTGAATTGTGATTCCTGTCTCAGATTGGGGGAGACTGTTGACGGAACACACAGGTGAGGTGTTTTATGTAAACAGATACTTTTTTCATCCAAATAACCAAGTACAATATAGGCATGTTTGTAACTCACACAAAAGAATAACCTTACATTCCCCTCCCCTTTAAATATCTATGCCACTTTAGTGTAGCCTTTATCTTACAATAGTAAATGAATAAATAAAATCAATAAATGAATAAAACAAGTAAATAAAGACACAAATACTTGTTTATCATATTCAGGTGTCTAGACTGCAAGGACTGGCTGTGCCACCATTGTAAAAAGTATCACTCCAGCAGTAAACCATCAGCAACACACCAAGTTGTAACCATTGAAGAGTTTCAGAGTGGCCAGTACGTGGAAGAAATAGCAAAGCGAGAAACAGTGTTCTGTCGACTCCACCCAGAGGAGCCAGTGAAGCTCTTTTGTGAACCTTGTGAAGAACCCATCTGCCATTTATGCACAGTGATTAAACAGTGCCACAAGGAACATCTGTGCGAGTCCATTCCTTATGCAGTTGAAGAAAAACGTAAAATTCTCCTGGATGATTTGAAACAACTTCAGTCAACAACTCTTCAAAACTGCAAGTGCGAAATTGAAGCTTTAAAAGACAAAGAAGTCTACATAAACACTCAACAGAACAAAGTTAAAAAGGACATAGTCTTATTCTGCAATGGACTCATTGCTTATATCAAACAACAACAAGAAAAGCTTCATGCCGAAGTTGACACCACTTTTGCCATAGAACAGGACAAACTGAAGGCTGAACTGGAAGAGGTAACTCTTATAAATTGTTGTATTACAAGCACAACTTCATTCACAGAGAAATTACTTAAGTTCGGCTCTGACTGTGAGATACTGCGCTTTCACAAACAACTTGATGATCAAACAAAACTGCTAAATGAAAAAAGCAGGAACCAGAGAAGAAAGCATACAAAGCCCCCAATGTTCCTCTTTAATCCAAATCCAATTATTCATACGGAATTAACTCATGCAACCGTAGGTTATTTCTCAGCATTGACAATGAGAGCAGTCTTGCTGGAGAAATTCTGCACACAAAGCCCATCTGATGTCAAAATGCCATACTTGACTGGTATATCCCTTGACAGGGACGATAACATATTATTAGCAGACTGCAACAATCAAAAGGTCAAAGTTTTGCAAAAGGGTTCAGGCAAGCTCCAAGCAGAGTGGTCTGGAGATGGAGTGTTTGAATTAAACTGTCCATGGGATATTGCATGTAACAACAATGGTGACATAGCAATTGCCAACAAAGGCAATGACCAAGTGCTCGTCCTGGATTCCAAGTTCAAAGTTAAGATGGCCCTAAAAGTAGAAGGTTGCACAGGAGTCACATGGTTGAACCAGAACTGCCTTGTATGTTTAGGTCAAATAGGCATAGTCACAGTAACTGTAAGTTACAACGGACAAAAAATGGTTAAATACACGCATGATGCCTGTGGTCAACTTCTATTTCCTGATCCACGGCATATAGATGTGTTACCCAACACAGATGTTGTTGTTGCAGACTGGTTGAAGGGCGCATGTGTTTTGGCAGAGAACAGCAAGTTGAAATTCACATACAAAATAGGTGATTTTGGGCAAACATGGGGCGTCTGTGTTGATCGAGATGGCTACATCTTGGTGGCAAACTGTGGCAATAGCTGTGTTTCCATACTGCATCCAAACGGCAAACTTTTAAGCTATCTGGTACCAGCTGATCTCATTTCTGAACCAACAGGCATTGTTGCTTACAATAATGGGAATATTGCTGTTGCAGAGGCAAATGGAAATGTCAAAATATTCAAGTATTATGAAAATTGAGCATACATGTAGCTTAAGCCTTAAGAATAAAACTTAGCAAAAGAAACTCTCAGCACTTCTGTGTAAGTTTTTGCCACCTGTGTGCGTTACAGGCTCACATAGTTGTTTTTTATTTGACTGACTCCTGACATGGAGATAGCAACTGATGAATTGTTTTTTTTTTTTTACTGGCAGTGAAAAAGAGAAATTAAGAATTTACAAACAGGTTTACAGATCGTGTTTTCTCGACAGTTTTGAACAATATATACCTCGGTGATAACAGGCATATTACGGTCTAATACAAAACCCTGTAATTCTAAAGTGTATGTCAAATGCTTGACCTTATAATGAGTACTGATAAGATGCTCAATTTGAGATATAATTCTAACACCCCTCACAAAAATTTATTCTTAGGAACAGTAAAATGTGTTGTATTGGCAATAATTTTACTTTTGTAAAATCCCCTTTGGACAAAGCAAATTCTCTGAGGAATATGGCAAAAATTTAATAAAATGCTACCTCAAAGTTTGGCATCAAATTTGAAAGAATTGAACATATGAAAAAGCATGAAATATTTTTGAATTACCTCTTGTTAAATCAATTTCTAGATTATGACTTACTTTGTCCTGCAATCATTGCCAACAACTGTGAGTCTCGATTAAGCCTTAGACTTCCCGATGGCGTTCCAGTATCTCCACTGCTCTTGGTGGTGTTGGCAGTGGTGTTGGCAGTTTTTGATGGCGTCTCGGGTTCCGCATTCTGCTGCTGATGCCCAACATCACCATTTGCAACTGGAGTGATTGGTGATGCATGCTGGGACTCTCTTACCATGAGGCGATGTTTGTTTTCGATGATCACAGTGATGAAGGGGAGATAGAGAGTGGCTATTCGTCCTTGGTGATTCTTATAAATATTATTATAACTAAATATTATACCATTGTATTCATTTTATATGGGAAACATCAATGGAAACAAAAAAACAGTAAGCATATACTAGCTGAAGATACTCCAGATAATGTCATAGTGAAAGTTATTTTCTGAATTATTCCCTTACAAAACAGATATTTTATCAAGGAAATGTCATCATGAACAATAGCAGAAACTTAGAATTGGATTTCATTATTGCATGGCAAAGACATTAAAAGTAATTTAAGGATGGAGAACCAAAACAGATAATACTATATGAATTCAATTTATTCTTATATTTACCTTTGATGAGTATCTGTCATCAAAAGAATGTTTTGCCAATAAATTTCGCAGGACAGCAATGGCATATCTTCTGGTATGCTGATGCTCATTGAGAGCGGCCTTGACCTCTTGTAGTAATAGACCAATCAGAAAGTGGTTCTTACAGAACTCTTCGGACAGTGTGTAGTCATGTTTCAAATCTGAAAGTGAAGGAGACACCCAGATAAAATATGTAATAATATAATCAAAGTGATGGTCTGCTTTAAGTAATAAAATTCTATTTTCAAGCATTTATTATTTGTCAGTTGATAATGATGACAGTCAGTGCAATATTATAATTTAACCTTTCAAAAACATTTTTATACATATTGATATAAAATGAATTGGTTAAATGAATTGGTCAACATGCTCAAAATGTTTAATGTTTAGGACTGAAGTTGTAGATCTTAGCTTGAAAAATGAGAAATATATCACGAGCAACAGATAATGGCATATATCATGTAATATTTTTCTTTGCCTAGGTACAATAAAAAAACTCAACAAAGTACAACAAAACAATATCAAAAGATCTTAAAGTTTCAGTAACGGTATTGTAACCAAAGAGCTGGATAATTTCATCTTAAAAAGCTGAAAATCTCATAAAAATACAACACTCATTGGTTTATATAAAACATTCATATTTACTGCCACCATATAATATCCTAGAATTCTTGGGAAGTAATGAACCCATACAACAATTTCTTATTTCATCCAAACAAAAATGATTGATTCAAATTTCTTAAAAACAGTTTTGGAAATAATACAGAAAACAATGATTTTAAAGTTCCTTTATGAAAAAGAAAAAATTTTCAGTTTGAACATCTGTATTTTTGAGTGATTTTAGATGATCAAACAAAAAAGTAAATTATTGGAGTAAGTGCATGCTTGGAATATGTGAGAAATTACCATATTTAACATAGACACATTATATGTAATAAAACAAAATGAGAGAACTATATTTATCTCCTGTTCTTTCAAAATCCCCCATGTTAATCTTGCTCATGCATCAGAACACGGACTTGTTCCCTTTTTCAGTTCAAAGTTATTAGAGCACTGACATTGCATTGGAGAAGACCAGTTTAAACCCCATTGTGTTAATTGACTAGTTTTACTTTAAAGATTATTTCAGATTAATTTACTACATTATAAATGTTTATACTAAGTCAATTTCTACAACCATGATTGTAGCATCATTATAACAAATTGCTACTTTCATGTTCTACTCATATATGTTAATTTATATAATCCTATCACATTTTAACAAGCACTGCATATTTTTAATGATATATCAAAGCCCAATCCCTGGGCCCAATTTCACAAAAGTTTAAATCCAAAATAAGTCTGAACAATAAAACCAAACATCTCACTCTTCCTTACAGCAAGATAATTACTATAGAGATTCATGAAAATGAATTAATTAAATAACGCCTTTGTGATATCAGCATAATTCCTTTAATTTGTTCAATATCTAATTTCCTAAATTTTTTTTAACAATAAAAGGAAAAACACTGGATGTGGGCAGGAACCAACACAACATGCAGTTACACTAGGACCACTACCAATATCACCGTTTTCCCTGTACCCTCTAAGGTCTAAATCAACATGAACATCTGCACCCAAACCCACTGATAAAAGCTGCGCACGTACCGTACAAGGGAACAAAACGACCTGACCAAAAAGCACAGAGAACAAAGCAAGGTAATAATTAGGTGGTTTTCTAAATAATTAAATTTGAATTGATGTGAATAAGAACATTTGCTCACATTTTAAAAACTCTTAAGCAATGCTACAATTCTAATGGTACTTCCTACTGATTTTGGGATGTGGCTATTCTATCAATGTGCTGAGTGCTAAGCAGCACTTCTAAATTGGAAGTGTGATCATTGCGTTTGGTTAAACGCCATACCTGGGATGAATTTTGACAATTTTATTAGGTGTTTCACAACATCTGGGAAGTATTTTAGGAACATCTTGTCTGGAAGGAGGCATTGTCTTCGGAGTGACAAATTAAGTCCAGAAAGAGGGTGGACCCATTGTGTTAGGTGTGACATATTTATGAAGCATGACCGAACATTGTGTTAGGTGTGACATATATTTATGAAGCATGAAGAATTATTGTGTTAGGTGTGACATATTTATGAAGCATGACAGGTCATTGTGTTAGGCGTGACATGTATTTATGAAGCATGAAGAATCATTGTGTTAGGTGTGACATATATTTATGAAGCATGACAGGTCATTGTGTAAGGTGTGACATATATTTATGAAACATGAAGGGTCATTGTGTTAGGTGTGACATATACTTATGAAGCATGACAGGTCATTGTGTAAGGTGTGACTTGTATTTATGAAGCATGAAGAATCATTGTGTTAGGTGTGACATATATTTATGAAGCATGATAGGTCATTGTGTTAGGTGTGACATATTTCTATGAAATGTGTTAGCCATTGTGTCAAGTGTGACATGTATCTTAGAAGCTGGTTGGGGCATTGTATTAGATGTAATACCTAATCTTGTGCTGAGAGTGACAAAAGTAAAAGCTCTATAAACTATGTTTTGAACCAACTTCATCTCTCTTATTATTTTCAATCAGTTTTTATGTTTGCAAATTCCTGGTTTAGAAGTCAAGATTGTAACCAGTCCAAGACATGATTTTGGGTTGAAAGAAAAAGTAAGAAGAAATACTTTAAATTTAAGACCTTTCACATGGGGGTACAGGAGCTGCTTTATGTTACAAAAAACACCAGGAAAAAATGGATTTTTTATTGCAGTCTATTATATCTATTATTGCTAATGCGGTGTTGCATAAAACCTGTTGGAGAATGACACCCAGCAAAGCTGCAGGGAAGGTTAGCAATGAATAACACTGAACAGTGGTGGTCTTTTTACAATAGACTAAGGAAGCAAAACTGATCTGCTGAATCATATGGCTGTCCTTATAACTTAATATGCATACTGCAGATTTTCTCCTTTAACAACTTGGATGATAGATCTTACTTTTCAAAATAATTAAAAGGAATAAATAAATAAATAATATATCAATATCCATATTAAAAAAAACTTCATTCTTTTTGCAGTAATAAAAGTGAATGTAAAATGTCAAGTACATGAAAAATTCTCAGAAATAATGGCTTTATTTACACCTGAGAAATAAAGTAAGATTATCCTCTCCAAATTATTAAAGGTAAATGACACAAACATTTAGATTATTGATTTTAAAACCATAAATAACACTTCCCACCACAGAACAAAATGTTTACCTTCCGCAGAAATTTCTGTAGCAAGAAGAAAACAAAAATAACAAAATTCAGTTGCGCTCTCTTTAGCCATGCAACTAAACAAATAAATTAGAATCTAAGACCAAATAAAAATCAAAAGATACAGCAAATGAAATGTTTGTATTTAAATTATTTATATAAATTGTTTGTGCAATGATATACATAACAACATCTGAAATAAAGGTTAAATAATTGTTAAAAATATTATCAAACATGCATATTTATAACAACAATAATGATAATGAAAGAATCAGTAGTTTTCAATTTCATGAAACTGGATTAAGTCCTGGCATTTCAGTGTTCCTATCTAAATAAAAGAAATCAAAATCTATATTAAAAAAAGTGTCTTTACAGGGCTTCATACATATGTAAATACATGTAAACCATGCGTAGAAAACAGAAAGTTATATGTGCTGGTGCATATCTTTATTCCTAAATATATTCTGAAGTAAGTTTCACTGGCAGACATCAATCAATGTTAAAGACCTGAAAAAGGTTTTATAACTGTATATTACTGTATTTAACTTTAAAAAGTTAGAGTTATGAAAAAATCCTGTACTTTAGAAAAGGTTGTTTTCAGGCAATTCTGGAAAACTGAGTTTGGGATGTCATATTATAAATCTAAAACTCAAGCTTGGTTCGAACCCAACTTATGGGTGTTAGTACCCAAAATGCACAGTGCACTTCTAAATGCAAAATCTTCATCACATTTGATCTCTCATGCTAATGCATTTATGAACCTACTTCTGCTACTAAAAACAATGAAACATTTTGTGAAAAGAGGTAACCATTGCTACAGACATTCAATATAAATGTTACTGACAAATACAGTAAAGTAAAATTCAAAAATTATTTTTTGAACATCAGCTGAGACGAGGGTAGGTGTATATTGGGGCTTAATGTACCAATCTTAAACCATGAAATCTGTTGTTTAAGTCTAATCTGCTGAAGACCAGACTAAGTAAGAAGTTGTTAAAAAAGGTAAAAATGTAAACCACTCATGTCCTTTGGTACTTACCATTACTAATACAGGATTCTGGTTCTGCTCAAATACTGGTAAAACTATATCAACGGTTTTTCTCCTTCTTAAATACAATTTCATTAAACATGTTTTTGCCTTGAAAACTTTGAATTTGGCACTGTTTCAATATTTTACTACATATACTGGGTATTATAGCAATATTACCATGAACTACAAACTGTATTTTTGTTTCTTCAAATAATTCATGAACCACAACATTGAGTTACAACATACATCATAAACAGATTAAAATTATCACAAGTGAGACAATGTGCTTTGGGACTAATTGTGACCTACCTTTCCTCTCTGATTGTAGTGGTTGTGATTTTTTTCTTATCCAACTATTCAATATTAATCATTTATAATACTTTTTCATTTGTTTACCTTTTTCTTTTGTTGTGCCAAACATGATCTTAACACCGACACCTTGGACATGACACATTTCACAAATAATAACAATTTAAACAACATCTAGTTATGGTATTCAGTACCACTAACAACAAGAACAAATGTACCAAGCAAGTTCAATTAGTGTTTCTGACTTAATGTTTTACCTCATTCTGGTTTCTCGTCATCAAATATAATTTTTTGCAACATTTACAACAAACGTTCTGGTGAGACACATTTGTACTAGTTGAGACAACAGCATATGGTGTTTGTTGAGACAATACCACATTGTTCTGGTTGAGACAATAGCACAATGTATTGGTTAAGACCACCACATTGTGTTTGTTGAGACAATATCACATTGTGTTGGATGAAACAACAGCAAATTGTGATCGCTGAAACAACATCAACAACATCACATTGTGTTGGTTGAGACAAAAACCACGTTGTGCTGCTTGAGACACCACATTGCGTTGGTTCAGACAACACCACATTGTGTTGGTTCAGACAACACCACATTGTGCTGGTTGAGACAACACCACATTGTGCTGGTTGAGACAATACCACATTGTGCTGGTTGAGACAACACCACATTGTGCTGGTTGAGACAACACCACATTGTGTTGGTTGAGACAACACCACATTGTGCTGGTTGAGACAACACCACATTGTGCTGGTTGAGACAATACCACATTGTGCTGGTTGAGACAACACCACATTGTGCTGGTTGAGACAACACCACATTGTGTTGGTTGAGACAACACCACATTGTGCTGGTTGAGACTTACCACTTTGCCCTGGTTGTTGTGGTTGTGGCTGTTCTTGATGGCCCCAAAACATAAGTCTTTCTCTAAAGCCTATATACTGGCTAAGACCACCTAGGACCAACGGGCAGCATGAAACTTTGTAAAATGGTTACTTTCAAACTCTCAATGATTTTCAAATCCAATCTAGCAATCCCCTTAAAAGGATTGTTCACTGTCATGTGGAAACTGAGGTTCCATGCAAAATTAGTTCAACGTTAGTAAAATTAGGAAGCTATTTCTATCAAGTCTACAATATGAAAATTCAAAATGTCACCTTATAATGAAGCAAAAAAGAATACTTTTCTTCTAAAATGCACTTCTAAAATCAATCATGTTCACAATAAATAATGTATCAAGTCTTCCATTAAAAAAACCAACAACAACAAAGATGAAATGTTGGGAAGGGACAAAGGGCAAATTTAAGCTTGTGAGGGAAAAAAGCCCAAATCAAGAGACAACATTCTAGTTATAAGGGAGGTAAGGTAATACAATCAGAAAGACTTAAATTATCAGCATACATACAAACATGCTCCATATAAATCAACTATCCTACCATTACAGGTCCCTGAACATGCTTAAACCCTGATAATTCTAAACATGCAAGATTCTGAAAGCTATGTATTAAACTTGAATCTGGATGTTGTGTATGTATATATATATATGGAATCTTGACAGTCACTTGTGTTTGGAATTCCTCCCTAATAGGAGGTAACGCAACCTTCAAATTAAGGTTGAAATTCATAATTTGCTGTTCTCTGACCATCATTTACACAGATCATGCTGTTGAACAACAATTTAACACTGGTTTACAGAACAAATGGAACTGCTGATACAACAACCACTGCTAAATTTATCAAACAAGCTAAAAAATAAAATCTGTTTTCTTTTTTTCAGAATTAGGGATTCAACCCTTTTCTATTTGCATATAATTTGTTATTATTATTTTGCGCCTGATAATAATGCCATTTCAGTTATCTATCTAACCACAATGTAACTAAATTTAACTAAAATAATTTTAAAAACAAGCATAACAACAAACACTGTGGTGTTCTTTCGTCTGCATATGGACAAATACGTAAATCACCTATTATTAGGGCACTAATGTTATATTGTGATTTTATTAAAAAAAGAGGGTAGCACTGACATTTGCAAGACAAGCCACGACAATTATCTATTCATTCCCTATTACAGACCAACCATCTAAGAACTAATACAGGCAGACTTAAAACAACATCGAACTTGGTGAAAAAAAAGACTATAATAATAATAATACAATATCTAGCATAGCCTACATCAGAGACATCTATAGGTGAAACTGTTTACCTCTTGAGCTGGCCGTGGTAAAGGAAGATGTTTGCATGGAAGTTTGAACTACTGGATGTGGTAGTAGCTTTTCTCTGGCCGCTGTTTGAATTGCAATACACAAATTACAAATCTAAATGAATTCCCCAACACGAAAGGTCATAAATTTTCATACACAAAATTGGTGAAAAAAATAGTCTAATACTATAGAACATATTTTCATCTGATTATCATGTTACAAGTGAACTGCACCTTGTTTAACAGCTGCCAATTTTCAACAAATTATCCAAGATAAAAATTACTTATTTAACCTCAAACACCTTTTAAAGACCGATCTGGCCTTTTACTAAAGCTAAGAGACCATCCAAAAAAGACTTTTTACAACAGAGTCAAATAGTTCCTTCGTTTCTGTGATGTATATATACAAACATTGTAAATATGCAGTCTTCATGTTCATTCTGAACTACAGCATATAACAACATGGCTCTATTGAGAAGAATAATTTATCATGCAAAACCCTGTAGTCTTCACATTTCAAAGAAAGAAACTACCACCCAAATAAGATTACAAAAGTATAAATAATGTAATAGCTTTCTATGATAGAATTATTTCAAAAATGTAAAATCCTTGCCATTATTCAAAGAAGAGAAGGAAAATCATTTAATCAATGCCATAAAAAAAGCATAAAAGTCAACATCATGGCATCACAATTTCCAACCAAGCCAAGCAATTTTCAAAACTGTAATAAAAATCAAGCATGGTTTCAATGGTAAGCTCTCATCAAGGAAGCAAACAAGAAAAACAGGGAGAGTGAGAAACTGCTTCAGTTGTGGCAGAGGGCATTTTTAAAATGATGGGCTGCATGATCTCTGTGAGACAACAAAAGGGAGGAAAGAATAGTGTATAAGGAATATTTTTTTAAGTGGTCTTTACTGAAATGAACATCATTCACTGGCTTAACAAGCACTGAGGAACACATCAATGATTACTCTTGACTGACTAATACTTGATATGACATAAAAGAGCTGATTGCAATTTGTGCCTGGTATAAGAGCTGATTGCAATTTGTGTCTGGTAAAACTGTGATGGAAAAAGTTGCTTTCAAAACTGTGTCAAGTGGGACAGTGATAGATAACATATTAATACCTGCAGTTACCTGCAACAAAATCATTCAAAGCAGTCCTTGAAATTCATGAAGTTACAAAATTCTACTGTGCAAAATTGCAACAGATGGCATACATAAAATACAAATGTGACGGTTGGTGTACCTAAAATGTGAAATGACACCACAGTGGCATTTTATCAGCTGTGACATGCTATAAATACAAAGTTTCAAAAATAATTGCCTCAGTTGTGAAAAAATATCAAGGTTAACTGCCTCAGCTGTGATAAAATATCAAAGATAATTGTCTCAAATGATACACAGTATCAAAGACAATTGTCTTAGTTGTGACATAATACTGAAGACAATTGTGTTAGTTGTGACATCTAACAGTTTTGTGTTGGCTGAGCCATGGGTAACCTACCTTTGTATGTTTTAACATGGCCTTTCTTCATCATAGGCAGGTTGAGTGGGACATAGTGTTCATGACAGCACAAGATCCTCAAAAACTCAAACTTGTACTCCAGTAATGTCTGATATGGAGAAAAAATGGGTACAGTAAATATGACCACACACACACACACACACACACACACACACACTAAAGTTTTGCCTGTTCTCAAGCAGTATCTTTATGTTTAAATATTTGAACAAACAGCATTCAAAATTTTTTTTTTTAATTCTGAATTTACAATTAATATGTTGTTTTAATAATTAATTAAATTCAATGTCCTCCATCATGGGTTACTATATATCCATGTTCCAAATGGTCTTCCTTTTCCTCTGATTCAACTGAATGCCTTCAAGTTTTTTCAGACCAAGAAAGTCCATCCAGATGACCAGTGTCCACTCCTTACCTTTGGGTCACCTGGGCTGAAGCTGTCCATGTACATGTTGACCAGCTTAAAGACTGCCCCTCGGTCCATGAAGGTGAGGCATTTCTGTAAAATAATATAGAAGTTCTTAATTTTAAAACAAGCCAGGGCCTTGTTATTTGTGACAAGGTCAAAACATTGTGATCTTCTGTACGATCCAATAAGTGAGTCAATTTCATCTCCATCGTTATCTTACTTTGAAATAACTGGATGGATCAAAACCTTTGTTTTGATATCTGTTCTTTTATAATTACCTTAATAAAACAAGCCAGGGCCTGGTTGGCATGTTTTGTCTCCACAGGCTGGTCTCTGAACTTCTGTGTGATGTGAGGCGCAAAACACTGTACCAGGTTCTGTACTCTGTACTGGTAGTCCGATGGAAAACGGTCATTTCTTTGGGCCTTGAGATAAACAGTGCATTATTATTTAAAAAATCAAATTTTACTGAATCTGTTCAAATTAAGTAAGCAGTTACTATCTGTTCAAATTAAGTAAACAGTTACTATCACAATTTTCAATATTTTAACATGTGCATGCAAGCACACACTTACACACTCATACACACTCATATACATACTCACCCTGATTTTCCCTGTGCTAATGAGATGCTGCGCCATGCTCTTAATGAGGATCTCAAAGAAGAACCAGGCAAACCTGAGCAGTTTGTTGATGACCATTAGGTCGGCGTTGTTTGGGCGGGTCATTGTGGTCAAGTGTTTGGCTAGTTCCTCGTGGACAGTTTTGCCCTGCTTGAGACTACCTGCTGTTGGCTCAGTTTGGAAAACATACTGAGAGGAAAAAAATGAAAATGTCACCACAGCATTTACATAGCATGTATAAGTGTTTCAAAATGAATAACAGAAATCATTTATTTTTTAAATTGTGCAGAATCTTTTTATAATATAATCATTAAATATTTTGAGATTGTTTGCACGCACATTTTATATGAGTATCTTTCCATGCCCCTAAGACATTTATCTCTTCAAAACAACTTACTTTTTTATCATGACAAAACTACTTTTAATACACATTTAATGTATGGACATACATAAAGTACTTACTTTGACATAGGAGTGTAAAGCATCAGTTTTCCCTGCCTCACTAACCTCTGATACCACATGGACTAACACCCTAGTGTAGAAATTTATAAAATATTTATATATTTTATTACTGTGCATTGCTCATTTTAATTATTACAAAGTACACAATTACAGAACTGAATAAATTTAAACAAAACTCAAGTATCTGTGCTTCTAAAAACAACATTCTGTCAGTAAAATCAATGTTCTGTTAATAAAAGACATCAGAAAGAGACAAGAATTTACCTGACAGCATTTAATGCCACATCTTCACTACTCGTCTGGGGAAGAAGACGGAAAAGTTGATTGAAGATGGTTGGAAGAAACTGGATCATAGTTCCCACGTCCATGGCATGCATACTCTGAAATAAATAAATAAATAAATAAATAAATAAATAAATAAATAAATGAATAAATAAATAATATCAAGGGAAACACAGTAAGTAACAACAAAATGAGAAATAAATGACACAGAATCAAACAAACTTATTACAAATTTGGCTCAAAAACTGTGAAATGTGTCAAGTAACATCATAGCATGAAATAATAACATATATAAAATAAGACAATGCAGAAACTTTGCATATGGCATTATTGTATAACACGAAATAAGATAAAACAATTATACAACATTACTTTTTTATCATGCATTCAAACTGATCAAAATTATCAAAAGGGGCATTTCTTTGACTGCATATTATCCTTAAATCAGTTTTATCTTCAACATTGCAATTCAAACTCTCTTGTAAAATCTTAGAAAGTTTTTGTTATTGATAAAACAATCATTTGTTATAATTATGCATATCATGAACTATAAGTTGTACCGAATGCTCAGGCATAAAACAAATACATTTGTGCTTGTTTGAAAAGATGCTGGTGCTGAAGCAAAAGTACATCTTCTGCCTAAATGAAAGTCAAGGACACCCCCTGTCCTTAACCTGTACACCCCCATCTGTTTTATGATGACAAAATTCACTTCAATAAGCTATGAAAATCATTCTGTCTACTTTAAATTATTCTTCCTTCAAAAAGAGCTTAAGTACTGTTTTTTTTAAGCTTGAAATTGAATCACAACATTAAATCATCACTCATGCAATTAAAAATCAAAACTAAGATTTTAGACAGCACTTCTACATGCAAACAGAATAAGAAGCCTTAAAATAATTATCACACAAGTTAGAAAATGAACCATCACAATGATCCCCCCCCCCCCATTTCTCTATATAAAATACATTTCTGTGTTTAAAACTTTCTGTAAGAACTCAGTGCACTACTGCTACCTTCTTCAAAATCTGACAAATTATATCTGCTAAATGAGATTGCTATCAACCAAAACTGTTTCAATAATTGAGTTTTTTTCATGAAAGAAATTGTTCCAAAGTACAAACTAGTCCAAACAAAGGGCGTGACTAAAGCCAGGCAATGCAGACTGCATGGGAAGCTTTTTCCCCATGAAGTTTCAATAGACTGATGTCTAAAATGCTATTTATTCAAAAAATATATTTTTTTTTATTCGAAAAATTCCAAAGTTCTATTTTCAGTTATTAATAAAACAATTGAATTCCTATATATGTACACTCTCTAAATGTCTAAAAGCACCCAAAAAAACACACAAAGAATCTCAAAAAAGATTTTCAAAAAAAAAAAATAATAATAATAAAAAAAATAATAATAATATAATAAAAAAATAGATCTTGAAAATTCATAAAATTATGTAAAAAGCTTAACAAATATACTAACACAAAAAACTTCTAAACACAGCAAAATTAATTTTTAAGCTGCAAACTCAATAGCACCCCTTTTCTCAAGAAATGGAATCTTCCTTTTACACGTCTAGTCATGTAATGGACTTATTCCATTTTTCTGAGATGGGTGAATAACGAGCACATACCTTTACAAATTTCAACAATTCTTTTTCATCAACATTTTCTGCACTCTGAATAAATGAACAAGTGAAAAAAAATAACTAAACAGAACAGAGGTTTGTGATATCTAGCCAAGAAATGAAGGCAGTACATAAGAAATAGTAAGAAAATTATCATATTTAGTAAATTATTATCTCCCACTACCTTCAGTGTTAAGCTTCACGTAAAGTGTTACAACAGAATGTCAAAAGCAAAAAAAGAAGTTTTTTTTGAAAGCCATAGTGAGGGAGTCATTATATTGTGAATGCTTTGCACCCTTAGTAAGAAGTTGAAGATTTAATAGTAAATTATTGATTAATATAGAGTCCACCTTCCATGTTTTAAGGTAATCTATACAGTGCTGTAGCAAGGGGGGTTCGGGGGTAACAACCTTTTTTTTTTTTTTTTTGTTTTTTTTTTTTTTGCCAGGAGGTTGGTTTGCTCAGGTTAAAATTTGATATAGGTACATGAAAGATCTTTTTTTTTTTCAGAAAAAGACTCCCCCCCCCCCCTTGAAATTGCTGGTTTCAGGCTGGCTTTTTATTCTAACCAGGCATATAACTCTTAGCATCATTCAGTTGGGAAAATATAGCAAACTATAACACTAATTAATTCAAATAATTATATAAAATTTAAAATTGCCATAAAATTGAATGAAAAAATCCTAAATCGCACTCTTTTGGGTAAAAGAAAATCAGTTCCACTTATACATTTTTAATATTGCAGGAACAATAGTGTGTGTGTGTGTGTGTGTGTGTGTGTGTGTGTGTGTGTGTGAGTGCGCTTGCGTGTGTGCCCACGTGCTTGCGTGCTTATCAAAACATTTTTGTCTGCTAGGTTTGCCTGTGCATTTAAAAGAGAAATAAAGCAGGTAAACCTGTTCCCACTTGTTATCAACTACCCTATGATAAGCTTGTAACCTTACCCAGGTGCACAGTATATAAATGCATATCTACAGGTACACCCATATTAGTATTACATGTGTACATGCACTTGGCATAAGGATTCCAAGGTAGATTAAACAAGCATATTTAAGGTCCATCATATTCTTTGAACAATTTCTTTTGGCTAAAGAAAACGTTATATATATATATATATATATATATATATATATTTTTTTTTTTTTTTTTTTTTTTTTTTTTTTTTTTCATTTTTTGTCACTCCTTTGGTAAAATACTAAATTTTCTTGGCTAATGTAAAACTTTTCTTGGCTTAGGTAAAATATGTACAAAATTTATCTGAAATGAGTGAGCAATTTCTGTTAAGTGTTAGAAAAATATCAACAGTGTGGCAAGAAATTCAGGGGCCAAATTTTTTTCCATCTCTTCTGGAGATGCATAGAATAAATCTTCAAATCTTCTTGTTAGTACTGATGTAAAAACATAAAACCTCTACCAAGTAAGCTGGTTCTACAAGAACATGATGTGAAATGCCATTTTAGAAAGAATACTACTGCAAAAGCTGCAAAATTTCTACCAAGATATCAAACTGCATCAACATTTGACTACAAGTTAGAATTTCTATATTAGTTTAGAAGAAAAAATATTCTACATTAAATAATTATAGGAGAAAAATAAAATCATCATCTTAATAAACAAATTAAATTCTGCATTACATGCCTGATATACTATAATCAACAAAATTGCAAAATTTTCAACTAATTGGTAAGCACAGTTGTTCGCATAAAACTGTATCAATTTAATCATCAAATTAATCTTTATAAACATGCTTTTTAACATTTCAGTCCTTTCTTCTGACTAGCAACTACAGAACTAAGTATCATCAACAGAATTACAATAAGTTACTTTTAAATTAAGAAATTCACATTCTTCTACAAAATCTCTAATAGAGTATTAAGTTTACCAATCAACCAAAATGCATGCCAAAACATTTTTACGCAAATGCACATGGAGTGCACACCACTCTATTTTGTGACAGTGGCCATGGTGTACAAACCATAAATTTTTCAAAGGGTTCAAAGCATTTTTCCCCTAGAAGTTCATGGCAAAGTAAATATAATAAATTTCTTTTCTTTTTCATGACAAGTCAAATGTGATAAAGTCCATTTGCCATCTCACGTAAAAGGCAGTGGACTTTACGTGAGATGGCAAATGGAGTACATACCTTGAGCTTGTTGACTGTATCCATGTCTGTTGCTAGGGACTTGGACTCCTCAACTTTCTGACAGTGGTGGAAGAAGTTGTGAAGGTGCTGATCCTGTGAACAGAAATAACAGAAAAATTCATTTAAAATAGCCAATTAAATTTAAAAATAATACAAAACTTACCTAATGCTAAAATGTCAATATGTTTGGAAGAAAATTTTCAAAAAAAATTAAAAAAATTAAACCTATGAAGACAAAAATACAATCTAATCCAAGAGAGGTTTATAAAATTATGAGGTTAACTAGTAACAGGCTTACAATAAAATCATTTCCTAAACAAAGAATAAAAACCTAACCTTTGTATAAATAGTGGAGACAAGACGCAGATCAACTTTAAACAGATGTTTTCCACTGTCCACCCATTTGATGTCTGGACCTGCACTCTGGAATGTAAGGATGGATGACTCAGCACTTTTTTTTAACTTCACAAACGTTGACAGAAACAAAAATTCTAATATTATTTTGAAGAGAAGCAGTAATGTAAATTGTGTCCAGTGGATGGGCATGGCAGTACATGTACCAAATCCAAAGTACTTTCAGCACACGTGTGCAGTGTGAATGCTGGTTAATGGTTTACTCGATCCCAAACGTACTTGCTGACATCTGTACAGAGGAGATAAATTTAGGGCTTGAAGCCGCTTGCAAATCTTTATCCTTAAACAATTTATTCATAAAAGTATACAAAATTACACTGATAAGGAATGAGTGCAGATACAAAATCTAACCCCCCTCCCCCCCAAAAAATATATATTTCCAGTCAAAATGTGACTTTTGATTGGTTGTTATCCAGTTGATATTATCCAATCAAACTTACCCCTTTTCCCAGACCTAACACCTCATGACTTAGGTAACCAGGGGGAAGGTTCACAGCAAGGGGTAACATCTGCTCCCCTACCAAAACTCTGGAATACAACAAGAGATTTAATTGGAACAACTCGGCAGCAGGAAGGACACCAAATACCTGATGGTGGTGGTAGAAAGGGAATCGGGCAAGTTCATTTTGTTGACTCCACTCTCTACCTCTGTGAATCACATCTTCAAGTGGAGAAATACAACAAAATCCCAACTCTGTTGTTTTCACTTCTGTAAATCTTCAATTATTTTGAAAAAAAATATATCTATTGATTTCTGGAAAAACTACACCATTTGCTACATCTTACTGCCAACTGATGAGCTTATCACTATAAATTTAACAGTATAATTGCCAAAAGCAATTGGCCTTTTTCAAGCACCTATACTCTTATTATGTTGCTTATATTCAAGAACATTAGTCTTTAATCAAGTTTGGATATTTTTCTTCCAAATGTTACTCATAAGTAAATTCAAAATAAAATTTAGACAAAAAAATCCTATTCTCACCTGCCCAGTCTACTAATTGGCATCCATGCATAACCAATAGTGTACTCTACATCATGTTTCTTTTTATTACTGGTGCTTTTCGAAGGCATCTTAGTGGACGACTCACAGGCGACGTGGTAAAATGTGAACAACAGGTGGTGCTTGTCATTGAGCTGAGTGGGTAGTGAGACCTTCACCTGTAGGATGAGAGAAATACAGTATATGATCAATAAATAAGTGAAGAACATGAGGCATGGAAAATTATTTTGACACTGACTAACATTTTGGAAAAGAAAAACTGCTAAAAATATCAAACAAATTACAATTATGTCTATTACTTCACATTTTCAAGAACTTAATGACAATCTGAAGCTAGAAATTCCTTCTGCAATATCTTTATTTTTGTGAAAATTGTGCACAATGAATGCAATAGCTCTATTACATTTATATATATTCATGAAGAAAACTGCAGAAAAATTGAGAATTTTCCACAAGTATTAGAAATCATTCCACTATAAAAAATACACAGAATTAGAGAAATCTAAAATCATTTGTACGCACCTCTTCATAAAACTCAGGCGAGGTCTGGTGATGCACCACGGCAGCACTTGCCACCGTGGTGAACACTGCCACTCCAGGGCGACCTCGGATGATTTGTAATGGCACAGCACCCTCTTCATCTGAATCTTTGATTTCTATGCAACAGGCGATATTTCTGGCCTAGAATGTAGAAAAACAAATGAAACTGAACATCCTTTTTAAAATGATCCAATTATAACTTTAATATCTCTCTCAGGAACATAAATTTTCTTTTCGGTGCTGGTTTGTTCTAGAAGATTAAATGACATCTAGCTGGCTTTTAACATAGGATAATAAATTATTTAAGAGAGTAAAGCAGTGTCAAAATGTCAGATTTCCATCAAAAACTTATCAATTCATAACTACAATAAATCCATGGATCAAAAGCACTTATGTTTTGCGTGCAAACTAACAAAATTTCTCCCTTTTTTCCTTATTTACTAACTATTCTTAAAGCATTGAATTTAGAAATATTTTACCTTAGTGAAAGCTTTTTGGCTGTCATATTTGAGCATCTTTGGATACACATACAAATGGTTAGTGTATGCTGTGTGGGGCCATGTGTAGCGCCCATCATCAGGCAGAAATTCCTCTATCTCTAATGTTGGCGGCTGTTCTGGGGGGTCGGGGAAGGGTTTGACAGGAATTATCCCTGACGTCACAGTGTCTGAAATTGAAACAATTTATAACTTATATAATACATATCTAATATGTAATAGTGTTATATTGTATAAAATTTCTATGTGCATTCAAGAGAGACCATTTTTTGGACAATTTTAAATAATTTTAGCTAAAGAAAATATGAAAATTCTTAACAATTTCCTTGTTCATGATTAAGTGACAGATTGTTTCAGGTTAAAATGAAACAACACATACTGCCACAATCCTGCACTGTATTGATGTGACATTTAAATTTTAATATTAACCAGTCAGTAAATGTACTCATCATGAAACAGATTCCTTGTTTTATGATTATACTGGCACGGATAGCACCATGACACCTGAAGCTTCATTCCCTGGTCAAGGTGTCTTCTTAATAGCGAATTGGGAGCAGTAATAGCTGTAGCTCTCATATGAATCATCTATTATTGCAACTGAGATCAACTTACTTTTAATGGCTTGCTTATACTTGGCCAGGATCACCATGAAGTCAGCAGGGATTACCTGCCACTTGCTCTGTTTCTCTGGCCTGAAGAGGACAATTGCGGTAATTACGTACTAACATTATGTCAAGATGTCTCATTGTCAGTGGCAAAAACATTCAACTGTGAAACATTATATGTTATAAAAAATTTGATTCTTTGATACTTTAATTTATCTTCACGTTATTTTTAATTTTTTTATTCTTTTTTTCTTTTCACCTTCTCATATCCTGCAGGTGTTTGATGAGGTCTTCTTCAGTCAGTCTATTAGGTTCTTGTCTGTACACTGTGATGTCTGTGTCTGGCTCTAAATCAGAAGTAAATGGTTTGAACACTGGTCTGAAAGAGACAAATAATAATAATAATTTGCAACACAGAAAAATTCCTTTTTTATCCTTTTTATATGGGATGCTATTAATCTTTAACTCAATTAAACCAAATACTACTTCCACCACCAAAACTGCTGTTGTTTATTCCCAATATTGTATATATTACATAATTTATTGGCTAAATAAATAATTACTGCTATTTTCTCTCTCTCTAAGTCTCAATCAGCCAAACTTGCACACAAAACATTACATACAGTGTACCTATTACCAAATTTCACACTCTGCTGAAGAAAATGAGGTTTCAGGATAGAGAAGAATTTCACTGTTAGACATCCAAATACTGGAGGTAATTGCAGGTTGATTGAAGAAAAAAATACTTTATTCTTGAGATTTCAGGAGTTCTTTACAAACACAATGATGGCATTCTGTGACATGTCCTTGCAGAAAACCACTCCAAAATCCCCAACCAAGTACAGGGGGTGTTAAATCACACCTACCTTGCAGCCCATCCAAATGGCATTCTATAATGTCCTAAGCGAGAGCAACATAGTCTCATCTGCTTGTGAACTTTGGCAGCGTTCTTGGCATCAGGACCTTTTATGTATGGCTCAGCGCAGGTAACTACACCTCCCTGTAAAACTTTCTCTATCCTTGCAACCAGGTAGATTTCATGATGGGGGTTCATCACAGAGAAGATGCCCTAAAATTAGGTAGTTTCAACTTGATTTAAAATTTCCATTTTTATATAAATGTTATGTTTCTATACCTTTAAAATTGATTCTTTCTTCATTCATTTCTATATCTCAATAAATGATCACAATTTCTCATTAAAATTGAATTCTCTAATTTGGCAGACAATACCACAATCATTAACATAGATGGCGACACATCAAAACAAGAAAAGCCCAAACCTTGGTCTTTCATAAAATTCTTACCTGCCCTGGATATTTAACCCAGTCTTTAGAAACTCCATTTAATTCTGGCTCTGTACTTCTTCCATTCACTGAGTTTAGTCTGTCACTGCTGTGAAGCACTTCATCCGGGATCATACGTCGCACTAGGCGGTCGTTTGGATCAATGTGAAAGTCTTCTGAGATCTTCTTTCCTTCCTTTGCATCATAAAGAGCCAGAGTGATGAAGAATGGTTCAGGCTATGAAATGCAAGTTATATTCATTAGGAATTTTTACAATTAATCATCTTAAAGAATTGCCTACATAATGACAGTTTTATGTCTCTTAATCTTTCTCCTTTCGTATTACACAGCGTAACCCAAAAACAAAGAACATAACCACATTTAATTGATATTTTAAATACACGAGATTATTAGCCATAGTAGCTTTATTCATACTAATCCATTATTTACAATTATTATTATTATTGCAATTATCATCAAAAACAAACANAAAATAGTGGCCCGATCATGCCGATTTTCGAACTTGATCTGCGTTTTAGTAAGACTAATTACTCCTGTGAGTTTCATGACAACAGGCCTATCGGTTTTCCTTGAAATGTGTTAACAGTGTTGCATATATGCTAAAAAGTGAAAAAACAGCATAAATTCTACAATAATGGCCTGATCATGCTGATTTTCGAACTTGACCTGCGTTTTATGAATATTAGTCAGCTCTGTAAATATAAAGCCAAAAAGTAAAACTGTCTTCCACTTATGGTGTTAACGCTGAAAGTGCACGGCGACGGCGACGGCGACATGATCGGCGACGGCGACGGCGACGGCGACGACAGACGCAGGTGATGGCAATATGTACAGACACATCTGTGTCTGTACATAAAAACAAAACACTCCAAAATGTGCATGTATGACTAACATTAGCTATATGGTCTGGCCCTTCTTCAGCCACATTTGCCCGTAGCTTGAGTTTGAATTCCTTAAACCTGACCACAATCCTGGTGCCAAACTGCTCCTTGTAGACATCAGCATTCACTGTGTCCCCTACGTCATCAAAGTACGGACCCCTCTGAAACATGGAGGATTGTCTTTTTAAGAGAAAACGATTTCTTTGTATCTATAATCTATCATTAGAAAACCTCATCCAAATTTCTGGCATATACTTTGCATGTATTAATTCTTTATTAACTTTCTCTTAAATTTTCTCCAACCATTACAGAATTTTCCTATAATAAGGGTCCTATAGGACTCTATAGAATTTGGGGCCAATTTCCTATAAGTAGTCCTATAGGACTGTATAGCAAATTTCCATTAGGGAAAACCTTTTTTGTCTTCTTACTTACCTGTAGCTCTGGGTAGATAAGGAACATTTTCTGTCTGTTCTCCTTCCTTGCCTGTGCTAACTGTCCATCCGTCTCTTTGGCATACTGGAAGGGAATTATTATTATCTTTATTACATTCCACTTTTTCTTTTTAATTTGTAACATTTATTGAACATGTTGATTAAAAAACTATTGAAGTGTATATACAAATTGCTTGTAAAACTTCAGTTGTGTGAAAATGAAATAAATCATTCACCAAATTAACAAAATTCAATTTTATACAAATTTATCCCAACAGTAAAATTGAATCACCTTTGCATTCCATACCTGAATGAGGTTTAAATGCCAACATATGCCTAGAAAAAACATATTCACAATATACTGAAACACTGCAGTTGAAAACATGATGTCATATGTACCTTGACCAGTTCAGGATGCATGCTGTTCTCCAAGCTGTCCTTGTAACTGTCACCCCCTCTCCCAGGGCTCAGAATCTCATCTGAAAAAGCACAAAATATATATATAATAATATGGATATTTTCTGGCTTATTAAGAGCTTCCCCAGAGGCTAAAAAATATTGGTAAAAACCTTCTTGATAAAAAAAACTTAAATGTATGTTTTGACTCTGATTCCACTATCAACTATGATGACTAAATAAATCCCCAAGAAAATAATGAAATTAATAAATGAAGAAGATGGGTTTAAGGGAAAAAATATCTTTTTTCAAAATGCTTGACTGCCATGTCAATTTAAATGTAATTTATGTCAATCACTACAAGCACTAACTAAAAATTATACTTTATAAATTTTGTACTAATTCATCCACTGAACAAGCATAAACTTGGAAATGATAATCATATTCATAAACTTCAGTTAGCCAAAAGGTCTATTACAAATACATTAAACCGCATAATACCTCTATATTTTTCTGAGGATATACTATGGATGCTGCCAGTTTCCTGGCTTTCGATGACTTTCCGTAGCGTCTTAATCCAATCCTCCATGTCCTGTTCCGTCTCTGCGGCAAACAGGTACGACTGGTGGTCCTGCATGTGAACCTCGAAGTTGAACCTCCCTTTCTTGGAGCTCTGGAATGGAATGGATTAAAGATAAAATTGTTTTTAATGTGTGTGTGTGTGTGTGTGTGTGTGTGTGTGTGTGTGTGTGTGTGTGTGTGAGTGAGTGAGTGTGTGGGCACGCACATGCCTGTGTGCACATGCAATATTTGTGTCTTATACTAGTAAATGTTTGTCAGAACTTTACACAGCAAAACATTTCTTGGAATTTTCAGTCCTTATCCTATAATGACATTCTCCAAGGTATCATAACATATTTCCCAAACTGTTCACAGCAGTACAATCCATAAATGCATGGGGAATTTAGTTTTAAAGTCACTCAGACTCATTACAGAGATGGAAACTGAAAAATTTCACTCGTGGAGTTAAAAACTTAAAATTTGAAATTTTTTTATATATTTATTTATCGTCATATTTTAAACAGTCCTGGACATGGTGTATCTTGGCTATAAGAAATCTTATTCTGAACACAACTGCACCTTTTTCACATCAGTGGCCGAGTCCAGAAAAATGGCTCCCTTGGCGTCGAGTTTCTTGTCATCTTTGTGAAACTCCAGGATATAGGTGGTGTCCACCTGCTGCTTGAGGTAAAAGTATCTTCTTTTGAAAGCCTGGCCAAAAAAAAAAAAAAATTATCAATTAGATTTCTGTAGATCTACGAGTACAGAAAATAGATAATTCATGTGGATACAAAAATTCACCATTTTCTTAATCATAAAGAAAAATACTTATTTTTGACTGTTGACAGACCAGTAGGCACATGTTAAACAATGATTAAATGTTCTAAGAAAAAAGATTATTCTAATCAAATATAAACTAAAAATTGTAGGCAAGTCAGCACTATCTGAGATGGTCCTTTAACAAGTACATTACATGAAGAGATCTATGTTATTTTACATATTGGTCATGTAAATACCAATAACAGAATGGTGATGTACCAATTGCATTTTTATATTATATTGTACAAGGTCATGGTAATCTTTGAACCAGACGAGAAATGAATAGAATTTAATACATGTAACTGGCCACTATATCAAAGTCTTAATCCTGACACTCACCCTGGTAAAACTGATAATGCTTCTAGAAACTCGGGTGTAAGATGTACATATACTCACCCTGGTAAAACTGATAATACTTGTGGACTCATGTGCACTGTCTGGTCCTTTATACAACCAGCCTTGCTTTGTTATGGTCTGGAGAACATTTCTGGTTAAAGTTCCTTCCTGAAAGGAAGAAAAGCAGAACAAAAATTCTTATTAAAGTTGGAGTTTTAGCAAATGATATATAACAACACTTAATACTGATGCAATGTACCTCAGTGGCCATTATCCATACCTTACAACCTCAATTAAGTCATAGTTGTTTCATTCCTATAAAGAAAAGAATGTAAATATTCTTAAATAAATTGTACGCAAGTGCAATTTATTCTGTATCATGGCTATAACACTTTATCCTTCAATAATTAATTACTTTTATATTTCTAAACACAAATATACATCAACTGTTTGATAACGTGGATTTTCATGTACTCATAAGTAGTCTACTTACTCATTTAAAAAACAAGATACAAAAAAGTTTGACACCTTCCCCCCAGCTGTTCCCCATGTACATTCCATACCACTTTATAAATAAAAGTGCTGTATTTCAACCAGTTGATGCTAATTTCTCATTAAAAAGAAACTCAATATACTCGCATTGCTGCTGGCTTAAAATTCAATGGAGCAGTTCACGCCATTTTGTTGTCTGTCCAGATAGTCAAAGAAGTTCCCAATTTACTTTAGAGCAATTTATATTCATGTTCTTTAAGGTATGTTTCATCTTTTTATGAGGTGAATTATTAATCCCTTCTCAAAACAACATTATTTTCAATTTTATATAGAAATGAAAATGCACTAAATTCATGATTCAAACCTTCATATGTTTCCACAAGCCAAAGAAAAGTAGTAAAACGTATTTAAAAGTATTTTGAAATTTGGAAATTAAAATAGTGATGGGTGGCAGGTATTTAAAAAACTGCACAGGGCCTCAAATAAACCCTTTTCTTCACATTTATGTCCTTTTCAATTACAAATTACCATAAGAATGCATGCTTTAGCATCTGTCCACATGTGTGCAATGACAAGAAATAAATTTTGTAAATGCTTAAAAGATTATACTCAATGCACAAGACTTCACAAAACGACAAAATGACATCATTACCATTAAAGACAAATAACAGTAAAAAGACTAAAAGGAAGGGGATTTTTCTCCCGTTTTTCATAATGGAGAAACAGGAACTATAAATAATTAGACACGAATCAGTAATATTTACCTCATCCTTATCATCCTCTATATCTATCTCATAGACATGTTCTAGTAGAGAATCTGGGGTCTTTTGGTACCTGAAAAAACATCCTCATTATTTAAGTTACTATTGTCTATCATTGGTGCTTAAAAGAGCTGGATTTTGTTTTTTAAAATTAGATGAATGACAAACCTTTCAGGCTGATTCTCAAAATTTTCATGAATTAATGCCACTGTGCATTTGGGTCTGTTTTATATGTTGCCTCCCCCCCCCCCCCCACCTCTCCTCTCTCTCTCTCTCTCTCCTACCTCTTTCTCTCTGTCTGTCATACGCACATACATACACAGATGCTTACTTTGGTAAATGTTGATGGCCACCAGAGTATTTGCTATACTTGTATTCTACCACATTCCACTTGCTAGTGTATCCTTTGATGCACTCCCGAACCAGCAAACTCGAGGCTTCTTTCTGGGCCAACTTTGGGACACTGCAGCACACTGTGCGAAATTCCCGTCCCAATGTCTTTTGCTGAATCAGAAAGAAGAGCACTCAATGAGGCATATGCTAAAAGATTCTTGACTTAATATACCAATGATTTAAAAATTCGGACTGCTGATTAAATTTTCTCATTCAAATTGCATGAAAATTTACAGCGCTTTCTTATTCCATCTGAGGATTTTTTTCACAATTAATGCTCTAAAGTTATAAAAAAATCTGATGAGAAGACAACTGTGTTTTTCATAACTTATCAAACACTTTTAAATACTTTTTGGGAAACTTAATCAATTCACCTCTGTCAGCTTAATGCATTAATTAATTAATTGCCTTTAATTTTACAACATAATTATTCCACTCACACAGACATCGTCTTGGGGAAACAGTAGCATGACCCGTAGAGGATCATTGTGAATCACCGTCTTACTCTTCACCAAAAATGTCTCGTAGTCAACAGGGTCCACCAGCTTGGGTTTAGACTACAAAGAACAGAAAGAGAAATTTCATGAATGATCACTGAGTACAAAATGGCTGACAATCAGAACATCAGTCAGGGAGTGGAAAACCACGGTTATTATTATTTTTTAAGCTGTTGCTTGAGGAAGTGGTGGTTGGAAGAGGGCAAGGGTGGGGTGGGGGGAGGGGCAGATTTTTATTGGTCATAAGTATATATACCCTTATCCAACTGTGTAAATATGCACCCGCATATGTACATGTACCAATACACACAAATTCATGTACAAACACACATGTATGCATATATGTGCATGCATGCCCAAACACATACACTAAGACCTCTCAGAGCATCATATCATCAGGATAACATCATGCCATACTCAAAAAGCAATTTCCATTTCTTTCTCCAAATTACCTCCACACTCAGCTTGACAGACTCAGGTATTGTGAAGAAGGCCACTCCACTCTGCTGTGCCAGGAACCGTAGAGCCATGGTGACACTGTGATTATATATCAACCATAGGTTCAAAAATATGTTCCAAGAAATAGTATTGGAAACCTCCAAAGACTATAGATCCTCTAGACCTAATACAGTTACCATTACTTAGATTTGAACTGAATATAGACAACAGTTACTGTCTCCTAAGTCACTGTTATTAGGCAATTCACATCCTAAGATCAATTAGTTTGATTCTTTGTTTTGAAGTGTTCATCCAACAAATCAGTAATTGTTCAGACATAATCCTGTCTTGTTCATCAGAAACCAACAATCTCAGGGATGATTCTGAAGAACCAGATAAGCACTTAATCAAGTAACTTAACATCTATCCTGGTATATCCCTTGATCTAATTCTTTCGAGGTATATCCTTTGACCTAATATTGTTTGTCCCGGGATATCCTTGGACCAAATTCTGTCACAGTATATCCTTATAGTAGATATTGGATTCTGGTGCTACTCACAAAAGAACTGTAGTCATAAACATCTGAAACCCTCTGTAACAGGGAGAACATCTCATATCAGACTCATTGACACCTTACATTCGACCAACAACTTTAAATTCAAGTTTGTAAGTTTCTCCATTTTCCTTGCAAATTTTCTCATACATCTTTTTCACATCAACTTAAGTCGCTGTCCAAAACTGTTTCAAGTTAATCATCAAGTTTACACAATTTTAAAATCTGCACTGCTTTGTTCTTTCCTGCAATCTTTTTCCATGAGTGTGTTTACAGGTAAGAAATTATGGTAAAAAAGAAAACACAGTGAACTCTGTAGAGTGAAAGCTATGTACTGTAGACTGACCCAAGACAAACCAGTTACCCTTGAAGTTCAAGCTGCTATAAATAATCTCATGAAAACCAATATCTTCTTCAGTAACCTGTATGGTAAACTACACATGAATTCACCGTTAGCAGACATTAACCTCCTACCTTGACTATTAAAAGAGGCACTTTTCAATATCTTTCTTCCCCCCACCCTCAATGTAAAAATTTTTCATCTTTTCATATCTATATAGAGAAGGGAAAGATAATATGTAATTCAACTTTAACCTTGACTTCCTAGATGTAATTTGATAGAAAAAATAGTTGCAAAACTGTCAACACAGAAAACAACATGTTACAGTTGGGAAAAATTGTAAAAGGACCCCAAAGGTATGGCAACCCAACTATTTCTCCTCTTTTTCTCTACATTTTCTATGGAATTTGCAAGAAAATTTGTCGGCACACCCATGGAAAAAGGCGTGAAAAAACTTGAAGACATCTCAAAACCTATTAACCTCAACTCTCTCCTGGAGTATGACTTAAAATTGTCACATATTCTAAAAGAGTTGATCAAAAATCCATGGGAAGGGGATTAAAATCCTGAAACTTCTTTTGACAAATTAGTCTTGTTTAATTCAGTTTTTCCTGTGCAAGCCCATGCATAAAAAGATGAGATCATTTCCTCTCACTCTTTCTTTCTCCGTTTTTTTTTTTTTCTTCAACCAACCTATGCATAAATTACATTTCTTTACGCTGGCTTCACCTATTTGGTGACTTAGATATATGCATGTGTCTGTGTGTGATTTTAAAATAGGAGTTCCAGTAATGAATCACAAAGCCACACAGTTTAACAGTCTATGTATAGTTTGTATACAAAAAAATATTCACTGGTATCAAGCACTAATTCACTGATGGTGGTGAACTGTAAAACCCTCTTCATTATCATCATCACTGACCTCAACACACAGTAAAAAATTAATATCTAAGGAAATTATCAAATAACTTAACCCAAACCATTATTTTGTGCTGAATTTATGACAAATCACGTGAAAAAAGTATAGCATTTGGCAAATTTGCTTACAAAAACTGAATTTGTTTAGAATTTAGAAAGAACTTACTAATGCCACAATGAGTCGAGCATAATTATCATTACAATTTTTTTTTTCATTTTATTTTATTATTATTTTCTTTACTTCTTTATTTTATTTCTTTATTTTTTTTATGTTATTATTATTTTTTTGAGGTAGGTGAGAGAGTTCTACTTGCACCCCTAGGCATCTGCCAGTGTAACTAATGTGCCATAAACCGTGTGTTCCCTCAACCTGACACCTTTGACGTGACGTATGAAGCTCTTCACGCGATATTCATGTTCTGGCAGTTCTGCATGCACACCCCAAAAATATCTCCCTCTGGGCAGGAGGTCAGTTCACACTGGTGGAAATATTATACATAAATAAAGAAGTGGGCTTAATCTAGTGTTACTATTATTTTTTGAACATTATTATTGTTGTTGTTTAGATAAATAGCTAAAAATTAGAGCCCAAACATAATTTTGAGTAGAAGCAATTACAATCTCCAACTTATGTTCAGTAGCACAGCAGGTAAAATGTATTAGTACCCAAAGTAATATTCAATTTTAGCACTTGGCTCAAATTCCCTTGGCTACCTAAAACCAAGAGCCAGACTTTTATATTTTTATAAATTTTTATAAAGTCACCTAGTACTGCAATAAGAAAGTCACCAGACAAGCAGGTGACCACCTCAGCACAGCTTTACTCCATCATATAAGGTGACCTTCCACTGAGCTGGTGATTATGAATATAGCATGGGGTACCTTGAAATACTTCAGAACCAGATAGTAAATTCAACTGAAAATTGAGCAGAATACCATCTTACATTCTTCCGATAATGGAACAAGTATGCAATATTTCATTTCCTTAATAATCACGAATTTAAGTGCTACAAACGCCAAAATAAAGACCCCAAGAACCCTTGCAGTGAAGTGGACGACGCCATACAGTCTCTATTCAGAGGGTTATAATGCTATAAACCATTCTTTCTATATAAGTGGAGGCTATAAACTGCTCTCTGTACAAGTATATTTAGAGTGAGTGGCAGACTTTACTCAGATAAGGCCTTCCTTATTGCCAAAAGGATATATACAAACATATGTTCAAAGAGGTACAAAATGAAACTAGTTCTACATACATATATTCTAGTTGAAGAAAAATATTTAACTGCACATGAAAATAAAGCCAATATAAAACAGTTCTCCTGAAAGGTTGTGGAGATTATTAGGTCTCCAGCATGTGTGTGTTTGTGTGTGTATGTGTGTGTGTCACTGTGTGTGTGTGCACACGTGTAAGCGTCCCTGTGTGTGTGTGCACTTGTACATGCATGTAAGCATGTTCACACATACAATCTACATTATCATATAGCTAGTACATATAAGAAAATAAGTACACAATATTTCCTTCACTCAGAGACTTCAATACTGAACAACTTCTACCAACAACCTACATAGGGCAGCCAGGCCACCCAACCAGGAAGAACATCCTAGAAAATGATCCCCTTGCCATCATCAAGTGTCTCTCATGATAGACATTTCTATCCATCCAACCAGACAAAACTGAAAGTATCTAAATCTACCTGTGTGTGTGTGTGTTTGTGTTTGTGTGTGTGCGTGTGTGTGTGTGTGTGTGAGAGTGCACATGTGTACTGTATGTGTGCGTGTGCATGTACATGTCTACGTGCAAGTGTGTGTGCATCTATAGAATTTTCTGCTCACCAAGTTCAGCATGAAAATTATTACTTCCTAAATTCTAAATGCTCGAGGAAAAGAATAAACTAAACTTTCTACCAATGAACTAACTCCAATGAACTATCCATGACCATAGTTGACAAATTCTAATCTGCATTATATCCCATACATATGTATATATAACTGGCACTACAATCCTTTACAGTACAACCCAATAACAACGACAGAAATCTTATAAACAATAACACATAATAAAATACCAGCGATCAACACATCAACAACAACAACAGCAGCACCATCGGTCAGTCAACGGTCACCGGACATCCATGCTGTCCTCTGATAATTCTCCATACATTCCAGTTGTTGACTGTGTCACCAACTCAGCATAACTCCAGCACATAAAAACTTCACTTCGCATGCAATCACGAGAGGCCAGGGGGACCAGCTCAAAATGTTCCCAGTCAACAACATGACAAGTGTCATTTCAAAATTGCTCTGTAAATTAAAACTCTCAACTGGTCTAATATTTGTACATACTTCAAAAAACGAGGACGCGTATGATACAAACACACAGGCTTATCTTGGCGTGCAAGTTGTGTGGCATGAATTAATTTGTGGTCATAGCTGAAGATTTTGATGACAATCAGATCACGTGACCCCTAACCATACCATGCCATAATTACCAACCCATTTGAAAAATAATCTTGGCTTTCTCCCAAAAGGGCTGCCAGCACATTTTGATCACCTTTTTCATTTTCTTCTGCAAGAAAATCACAAATGTATTTTCTAAAGACTTGTTTACAAACTGCTAAACTTTGTTAAAGAATTCTCATCACCCTGTATACGGGTGTCTTTAAATAGCCTTGAATGGCATCCAAAAGAAAAAAAGGAAACATTTGTTTTGTGCGAGGAAAAGACCCTTGGCACACATGGGATGAGGATGTCAACGTCTTCACTATGTTGACATCTTTACCGAGTTGACAAATATGACTAACCTCCCT